TGAGTTGGCCAAGGAGAGCTGGCCATGGAGAGGGAGCCACAGAGAGTGAGCCATGGAGAGATCGCCAAGGAGAGTTGACCATGGACAGTTGGCCATAGAGAATTCACCATGGGAGTTGGCTATGGGGAGTTGGCCATGCTGAGTTGGCCATGGTGAGTTGTCACAGAGAATTGACCATGGGGAGTTGGCCCTGTTGAGTTGTCCATGTTGAGTTGTCCATGGCAAATCACCCTACGCCCGCTCCCAGAAGCCGCCCAGCGCCGTATCCCGATCCCAACCCTACCTTGTCAGACATCAAGGTGGAGATGGAGCGGCCGATCTCATGGTAGTCCATGTTGGCGCTACTCGGACCCAACAGCACGAAGAGGAAGCGGACCGGCACCGGCACCTCCAGGACCGCGTCCAACTGGGCCGCCTCCTTCAACCGCACGAAGGCCATGGTCGGCTGGTCGAGGAACTGGACGCAACCTGTGGACACGGGACGGCGGAGGCTGTCCGTCAAGGCCTGACCACGCCTCCCCCCGCCGCCGCGTGAGTCCTGACTCGCTTACCGACAAGCACCACGGTGGCTTCGGCGTTATCCGGGATCTTCTCCAACAGCTTCAGCTCATGTTTCGACTTGGAGCGTGTGATGGCGCCGGACAGGACAGGCGAGGCCACTTCCTTCGGCAGGCTCTACGGGAGGGGAGGATGGGCGCCGGAGTCCGGGTGGCCTGCCGGAGGGGGCTGGGCCAACCCCCCCGGATGCCCCTCCCTGACGCCCGAGCCCCTCCCCTTCCCCCAAACTTAATCCTCTACCAGTTAAAACGTCCTTTGATAACAGTTAACACAGTTCAGAAGGGAGCCGCGAGGTCATCTAGTCCAACCCGCTCCCTTTATGCAATCAACGGCCCCAAAAAACTGAACGAAGCCTCTTAAAGTGACCTTGGGGTGGGGCGGAGAGGGTCCCGGTCCATTTCGTGGGGACAGACCCCCTCCGAGGCCTTCTTTGGCGGGCTTCGGAACCCGTCCTTAAGCGAGGACCAGCTGCCCTTTCCACGAGGGATGTCTTTTTCCCCCCCCCTCCTTTGTAGCATAGAGGACGTTACTCCGCTGGGTCAGCGGGGACGCCTTACCTCCTTCTCCATGTCCACCCGCGTCTCGTGTTCTCCGACGGGGCCGATGAGCGGGTCGGTGACGGTGGGCTCGGGGCCTTCTCCGACGTGGTTGGCGCTGTGGTGGTGACCCAGAAGCGAGCCGAGCGAGCCGGCCGAGATATTACGAGGGAAGGAGAAGTCTTTCTCGTCGCACGGGTGGCTGGGGGAGAGACCACCTTGGGCATCACGTTGGGCCCCATATTCGTTCCCCCACCTGCCCCTCCGTATGACCCGACGAGCAACTCGCGCGGTCCATACGACCGACCCTCGTGGTCTGGATAGGACACTACAACCCGTCTGAACGAGCAAACTTTCTCGTCTGACGAGCAACACTCGACTTCTGGATGAGCAACGCTCACGATAAAGATGAGCGACGCTCGCGTTCTGGACAAGCGACCCTTGTGGTCCGGACAAGCGATGCTTGGAGTCTGGACAAGCAACGCAGTTCGTATGAGCCATCCTCAACAGTCCAAAACGAGCAACGTTTGCGGTCCGTACGAGCTGCTCTCGGGCTCCGTACGAGCCACCCTCGTCATGCGGACGAGACCCCCGCCCGCACGGGTGCGGGAATAACCCCCCGATCTGCTCACCTATGCTTAAGCAGCAACGCCCGCAGCACGTTGGCCCGGTCCTCGGCCCGGATCTGGTCAGAGATGATCATCTGCTCCACGACTTGGTGGGCCACCCCGGGGAGCGTCTTCTGATCCAGGTCCAAAAGGACGGCACCTGGAAGAGGAAGAGGAGGGAGGAAGGATAGGAGCCACCCTTATCGCCTGCTCTCGTTCCCGTTCTTATCGCCTGCTCTCGTTCCCGTTCTCGTTCCCTCGACAAGGAACCCATCCAAAACCCATCTGAAGCCCGTTTGCTCCACCTCCTGCTTCCGTTTTCCTCTTGGATTCATCGTCGGCCTGGCCAGCCGGAAAAACTCGGTCCCTACTCCTCCACAACTATCCTGCCTCCCCTCCGCCCCCCCCCTTCCTTCTTTCGGTCCTCCCAGCGGGATTTACAGACCGGGATTCACGGACCGGTTCCTTCCATCGCAGAGCCGTCCGGATCCCCAGCCAAGGCCACCGTTGCCCTCGAGTGTCTGAGCAAGGTTTGCAGTCTGTACGAGCTGCTCTCGGGCTCCGAATGAGCTGCTCTCGGGCTCCAAACGAGCCACCCTCGCGAGGCGGAACGAGAGAAACCCGTCCCCTCGCCACCAGGATGAACCCGCCCTCAGGTTCCCGCTTCCTTTCGGCCGGGGCGCAAGGAGGACCTAACCATGCGATGGTCTCTCGTCGACCCACTTACCGTACGCATGCGAGCGATTGTCTCTCGTCACCCTGCTTACCATGCGCGAGCAATTTTCTCTCATCGATCTGCTTATCATCGACCCACTTACCGTGCGCGAGCGATTGTCTCTCAACCCGCTCACCGCGCACGAGCGATGGTCTCTCATAAACCCGTTTACCGTGCGCGAGCGATGGTCTCTCGTTGACCCGCTTACCGTGGGCGAGCGTCCGGCGGAGCTCCAGCAGGCTACGGAACGAGAGGGACGCCACGTGCGGCTTTCCCCAGCGGTCCGTCTCTTCCTCCACGTCCTCCTCAAATTTGATCCAACGGGCCGTCTCCTTCCACTGCAGCTCCTGGTTCTTGTCCAC